TACTCAGTCTGCAGCAACACATCTTTATAGCACTAGAATCGCTGATACTCGTGGATTAGTCATCCCCAAAGTTAAAACTGAAAATGTTAGAAGAGCCTTTTCCTTTGAGGGTGCAATGACATGGAACAACCTCCCTAGTGAGTTACGAAATGCACAAACTAAGCAGTCATTTTGCACCAGTTATTTTAGAAACATGTAAATATAACCCAAGTACTCGCAAATAAGTAGCCACTATCACAAACTTCAATATTTAGTAAATTACCAATTGCAGATCACTGTATTTCTCATAAATATCCTACAAATTACAAATAATTATGCTTAAATACACTGTCACTACATAATCATATTTGTTCTTCTTCAAAATTTGTGTATGTATGATTTTCTTGATGACTTGTTTTTTTTAATTTTAATTTTTACTTGCTGAGTTTAAATTTACATTTGAGATTTAATCTCTATTATTTCTGGTATGTTTACTACTCACCATGCAATGATGTTTTCATGTAATGTATGTCTTTATATGTATTTTATGTTATCCAGGGCCCCCAAGTATAACAGTATCTTAATTACTGATGGGGCTACCCTGGTGAAAGAATACAAAATAAATAAATAAATATATAAATCACTCGGCTTAGCGCCTATAGTCGGCGAATAACAAAAATCAATAAAAGGATCCAGAACTAGACTACGTCTTGCGACGTACCAGATCACTTTTTTCTAACTTTTAACCAATTAGAAGGCCTCTTTTTTTTCTAGGAAGTGCCGGTAGACATTAATGCGCCAAATGTGGTTCTCGAATTGCAAAAGATCCCTACACTTGGAGGGGTATAGGAGAAAGCAGTTTTACGTCATATAACTCCAGGAAGTGCCTGAAAATGCGCCTAATGTGGTTCTAAAAATGCAAATGTTTCATACTCTAGGAGGGGGTTCTGACCCCCTCCACCCCGCCCCGCTTTGTCGCTCCGCTCCCTCGCTGCTTAAAGCTTATCTGCCATAGTTTACAGGAGGGATTAGACCGCCCTGCAAGGTCACCGGACAGGTGGTTATCTCATCAACTCAGCTTTCAGTTAACATAAGAAAAAGAGCATCATGGGGGACCAATGGTCAGCGATTATGCATTGTTTGTTATATAGAGGGCGCAAGTAGCTACAAGTAGTGCAGTGGGCCTTTAAGCCTCACACATGTTCATGTTTATTCAGGGCCCCATGGAAGACCACAACTTGTTGGTGAATGGGCTACCCTGTCAAAAGATTAGAAATAAATAAATAAATAAATAAAACATCGTTTAAAAAAAAATATATTTCACACCATGCGATTTTGTGCCCCCCCCCCCCGGTATGAAAATTCCAGGATCCGCCCTTGACTTCTAATACCACTTCTTCATCTTCTACTACGTAACTGCAAACATTGCATACTTTAGGTACACAAAGCACGAGATGTGTCCCCTTTCCAAATTTTAGGCCAAAGAGGCGCATGAGGATGGGATAACTATTTTGCCTTGCTCGCTTGTGATAGACTTTTGATTGCAAAAACAAAAAAAGTCGTGAATATTGTCTGGTGCTTATCATTCTCCAACGCTTGCACACCCCCTTCCTCTCTCTCTCTCTCTCTCTCTCTCTCTCCCTCTCTCTCCCTCCCTCTCTCTCTCTCGCCCTCTACACTTCTATTCAAATTATTTCTCTCGCTATTCTTGCATTGTTTCAATGTTTCTATGGACACTGATGTACAGATGTTATAGTTAGAAATCCCTTTTATCGTGTTTATTCTCTCCCTCTTTTCTTTCTTCTCTCCTATCTTCATATCCCACTTACTCTCTCTCTCTCTCTCTCTCTGTCTATACTTCTGTTCCAATTATTTCTCTCGCTATTCTTGCATTGTTTCAATGTTTCTATGGACACTGATGTACAGATGATATAGTTAGAAATCCCTTTTATCGTGTTTATTCTCTCCCTCTTTTCTTTCTTCTCTCCTATCTTCATATCCCCCTCTCTCTCTCTCTCTTTCTCTCTCTCTCTCTCTCTCTCTCTTCTCTCTCCCCTCTCCTTCCCCTTGTCTCTCTCTGCACCCCTCTCTCTCTTTCTCTATATCATTCTGTTCTATCATACCCCTTTTCCCTTTCTATTCTTTCTCTTCCACCGACCACCCCTCTCTCTGTCTCTCTTTGTGCATCTCTCTCCCACGTGTCTATATTCTTTACCCGTTAATGACAGGTAGGGGGGGGGGGGGCTGAGGGGTGATGGAGAGGGGTGGGGATCATGGGCAACTCCTTTTTACCGTCATAGTAAGCAGAGGAAGAGTTCATTGTGCCTAACTGAAAAATCAAATGAATGAATTATATGTCAACGGAAAGTTTATGAGCAATAGATCACAATATTATCAAATATATGCCATTATAATGTATGTCAGAGGAGTATCAGCTCTCTAAAACCTCAAAATCTAAAGCTTTGAAAAGCTGTGAGCTTCGGTCCAAACTTTCATGCCACGTGTGTGCTGAGTCCCACTTACACATTTCTGTGTGCTGTGTGCAGTGCGTGCGAACTTTCAGCAATATTGCATACATTTCTAATCATTTTGATGATATCTCAATACCAATTTCTATGTACTTCATAATCAACCGTCCCCGAATTACCACCAGGCATTATTACACACTGTAATTGATATATGACACGAACTCGAATTTATCTTTATTACAATCCATATATATTCCTAATTCTTACGTTCAAAGAGTGCATAACACGTTTTTTTGGTAAGTATCATTTCGTTTTAATTCACTTCACAAGACCTTTACCAAAGAAATACTTTGCCCGACATTGTAGATTGTATATCTACTTAGGCCTATATTCCTATTAACAATTCTAAATGAAATTGATACAGTTATGTTGTATGAGACTGAAAGGGAGAGAGAGAGAGAGAGAGAGAGAGAGAGTTCCCACTTAACCATTACAAAATGCATACATCGTAAAAGTCACCCAGCCAATATGAATAGCCATTAATAGTTTGCTTTATAAAATGATAACGTGGATCCTAATCAATTGATTGGTTGAGAGCGTACACGTGACCAGGCATGTATTTTGCCTAACACGTAATTTTGATAATGACCGGTCATTATCAAAATTAATGCTAATGACCGGTCATTATCAAAATCAAATTATAAAACATCATTTTATAAAACAAATAAAACATAATCTTATAAAAAAATAATACACTTCATTTTGTTCGTGCATTGGTAAAACTACCCACACTCGGTACCTTCAAAACAGTCCAAACACCGGCTTGGCTATTGCCTCGTGCGTGTTAGACTGTTCCGAAGGTACCTTGTGTGGGTAATTCTTACTAATGCCCTCACTGCTATGTATTATTTGTATATTACCCAATGCTATAAGACTCCCAAAACATCTATATATATATGATCATACTCGTCCAAGTCTATCGGCCCAATATATATCACATTTGCCTAAGTTAGCCCACCCTCTATCTTACCCGAAATCCTCTTCGCAGTTGTGATGCCGTTGCCTTTTAGACATTTTCTCAGGGGTTTCAGTCATGTAGAAATATGTTCCAGAATCTGGCCGATTCTTTATATCAAAGAACTCATAATTATGCTAGTACGTCCACCAGCCCAGCTTTTCGCCGGGCGTCCTAATTTAATGATCACGCCATCTTCGGCTGGCAGCAAGTAAGTGGGGGTGTGGGGGGGGGGGGGGGGGGGGGGGGTCGCATATTGCGTTGGTGTGGTGGAGATCAAAATTAAATAGGTCAGATTCTGGACTAGTAGAAATACTGTAGCATGCGTGACCACTGGCTTTCCAGACACCCCCTAACACGAGGATTTCTTCTGAAGCCAAAGGACGCCCTAAATGAGGATTTCGCGTGAATTTTGTGTACTCCTAAACAAGTATTGGAAAATTGTAACCCCTTGAGCATTTTGAAGTGCGATACTGATTAACCTTTAACCCATTGCTTACTGGAACCTGGTGGTCCCTGTGTTAAGTCTATGGGAATTAGATAATTCAGTAGTCACCGGGTTAAGTTGTTGACAATTTCAAATACATCTAATTGCGCTTCTGATGTAAAACAAAAATATATATCTGTAAAGCGCTTTGAGAGGGCCTGCGGTCCTGATATGCGATATATATGAACGAACTATTATTATTATTATTATTATTATTAAATTCACGATGTAAACATTCATTTCAATAGAGAAGCATTAAAGGTAAAACAAAGTTTTGGTATGGGGTCATGAATTGGGTTCAAATGAACATATTGGAAGCATACGATCCTATACAATCTTCAGTGATCGTTGATATCGAGTCTACAGTTATGAAATTGTAAATAATGTAAAACTCTTGTAAAACTCTTTATGTTTTATAGCTCCCTCCCAAGGTCAAAATATTAATTGAGCCAGAAAACAATGTTTCTTGACCAAAATCGACCGATTAGCAATTCCCGTTTGGAAATTATATACCACAACTACATATTCTGAGATTTTCATGGTCGCAACTATTATTGTACGGCCGTAGGCGCTATATGAAATTTATCAAAATTTACCGGGAGCACCGGTAAATTTTTATATTCAATTTTTCTCGAAAGCAAAAGTGTTTTAGGGGCTAAATTTCCTAGTGCTTATACAATACATCCACAGGGGCATCCAAATGTATCAAAATTGTAAAGAATCACTATCCACCCAATTTTCAAAATTTCCGAAAACTTTGTAATACCTTTCACATCAACCTGTACACTTTCAGATGGGTTTAATGCGCAGTCATCATAAGTCCTTTCTTTGAAAAAAATATTTACATTTCAAATTTGATCTATTCTTTATAAAGTAACTTAGTAAGCTGACGTAACTAAAAAATAACCCTAAACGCGTACACCAGGATTTTGAAAAACTACCATTTTTTCATGAAAAAATAATTTTTTTTAAAACCCTTTTCCCTTTTTGCGAGTAATAATAATAAAAATAATAGTTCAGTTCTTGTATAGCGCATATTACGTTATGAAATAACATCTATATGCGCTTCCAAAGAGCTTTAGACTTTATTACCCTAGCTTAGATATGTCCATTTCACGCAGGCGCAGCACAAGATCCATAGCCCGAACTATTTCCTCGAACTTCTTGTCTTCGTCTTCACCCGCCATGTCGTCTTCCCTTAACTCCTCCTCCGCCAACCCACCGCGCTTATCCTCGTCCTCGGTCTCCTTGTCGTCTTCCCTTAACTCAACCTCCTCAAACTCAACACTCCTATCCTCGTCCTCGGTCTCCTTGTTCTCAAGTGCATCTCTCTTACTATGATCGAGCTGATTTTCTAGCAAGTTGACGAGCTCTCTGACTTCTTCTAGTTCTTTCTTCACTTCACCTGCATCCTCCGCCAGGAGACCAAGGCCTCTCTTCGCAACCGTTTCTGGCTGGTAGAAGCAGTAGTAGATCTTGACATTATGGCCCGTATTGCCAGGTTTAGGATGTGTGCCATCCTGCCACGTGTCGGGATTGGCTTCCTTGGTAGCCCACTCGAGAGATTCCTCCGTTACAGTCATGCCAAGTACCTGCACGAAAAATGTCAATACTACTTGTAAAGCCTTGTTCATATTTAAGTGTAATATCCTATATTGTATCTCATGACACAGAGGCCACTGAATATCAGCGCACCGTGCCTTTTCAAGGAATACATGCTGCCAGGCACTCATTAAACCCCTGGATGTGGAGAGCCAATTTTAAACAAAATGCATGTTCTATTAACGTTTTAAGTGACTCGGTAACACTGTTGAAGGTTGATGAAAAAACCGCGTAATTTGTGTATCAAATTTTTAATTCCTTTTACTGTACTAATCCTCTACGATGTAAAAAAAAAAATCCTGAAAACATTCTGAAACCACAAAGATATTTATGGTTTTCTTTGAAGGCGTCACTGTGCGACACCCTCCAACGGTAAATTCTCTCAACCCAACCGTTTTTCCTTGAAAATAATACATAAGACAGACTTTTAATAATCTGTCAACACTTAAATGTCTTGAATGGTACAGAGCCAATTAATTGCTTTGTGACGATTTACATTCACCTAAATTGTGATTAAGCTGTAATAATATAGTCGGGAGAATTGAGGAATAGATCAGATCTCAGTTTTTTTTCTCTAATTTTTATCATTAATAATGGTCTGTTGTCACTCAAACTTTCAGACCATCTTTAATTGTACATCAATATAGCATTGAGGCCACTACCTTTAAGCACCATCTTCTCTAATCATTCTGAATAATTTTACCAAGTCCCTTTAAAGTGCCAGGTAAACAGGTCTAGTATACCAAACTAGAAAGAAGGTGTGAACGTGTCGTGGTATAGAGGTTCGTTCACTTGACTCTCAATCTAAGGGTTGAGGGTTCGAATCCCAGCCCGGCACTAACGTCTGTTGGCAAGATATTAATCCACATCTGCCATTCTACACCAGGTATAATTGGGTACCTGGATAGCTTGGGTAATATTAATTACAGGGCCCTCAAGAGGAACAGCATTCCAAAATAAAAGACAGTAGAACCAGTCATGTGTGCGACCCACTGTGAAGATATACGAAAAACAAGTACAGTAGGTGAAATCGCAGGTTTACTTCCTGTCTAATTTTGTAATGTTTTGGCAGGCACCTCGAAGGGATACGCAACGCGCAGAGATTCGAAACCTCAAAGGACGTTCGCACCGGATGTGGATTCAAACCGTCAGCCATCTGAAGATGAGTCAAGTGACCCTCTAGACACTTACCGTCTGACATGCCCCGTGGAATTTCATGAGGTAAAAGCTGCCCTCCGCTGGTAGGATGATTGGGTTGATGGCACTGCCGTCTTCACGGCAACAGTACTCGATCTCTGTTGGTCCACCGGTATAGGTCCCCGCGGGCATTGTGTTATAGTCCGGGTCAACCACTCTAGCTACGTCGTTCCATCTGATGTTACCACTCGTGAACCCTAAAATATGAAAATGAAAGAGAGGGAGAGAGAGAGAGAGAGAGTGAGAGAGAGAGAGCGTTAAAAAGGGAAAAGGAGGGAGTTGCATCTAGATAGTATCAATTGGAAAAATTAAAGTCTTTGGATATCAACCACCTTTATACAACTCCTGGCAACTAAGATTTTCATATAGTGTAAGGTAGCCTACAAGGATACATGTTATGAAATTAAAAGCTGTAGGTACATGAACATTTCCATGCAATAGAATAATAACTGTATAGTGTCACCCGTTTTTCTTTTTGCATGTCATTATGTAGTCTTGAATCTGGCCTATCAAATTTTGATCTCCACCACACAAACGCTACCTCCCCCTACTTACTTGCTACCAGCCGAAGGTAGCGTGTTCATTGTATTAAGATGCCCGGCCATAAAATAGGTTCTCAGGCTGGGCTGGTGAGCATAATTAGGAACTCGTTGATAACGCTATCTTCGGCGGCTTGATGAAGAACCGGCCAAATTCTAGACTATAGTCATTACGAGACTCACCGTCTGGACAGGTTGTGCCAACTTTGTAGATGCAGTACACACCAGGCATCCAAGACCACGAGGTTGTTGAAACTTTCGGGGTGGACTTGACGCAGTAGTAGCTCCTCAAGGACTCATCGTCACAATAGTTGGTCAGATGATTCCCCCTGGAGCATGTATTGACCCCGGATGTGTCCGTGTTCTGGTACAGCATGCCGAAGTCCCATGTGAATGCTGTTGTCGGGCACGTATCCCCTGCTAGTGTCACCGCCTCTGGAAGAGCGTACTTCCCATCCGGCCATGCCAGTGTCATTGCTACCTGAATGTCTGCCAAAATCGACAAGGAAGAAACAAGTTGTTTTATGTTACAAGTTTTTCATTCGTTCCTCTCATAAACCAAAACTGCAAATACGATTCAAATTTCATACAGAATTTACAAATACATTTTCACATAAACCAAGTTACCGATTAATTTGCAATATTTCATGCATTGCCATCATAAATGATTCAGAGTACAATATTCGAGAATAAAATACAGGGATCAAATCTGTTATATTGCTCATAAAGGTATCATTTATCCTTTGCTGGAAACGGTTTGAACTAAAGTCAAGTTTACAAAATGAAATTGTTTTGAAGTATACTCCAGTAAATTTTTTCTTTTTTTACCTTGACTACATCATCGCGTCGCGTTTAACGGTGTTATTAGAATTCAGTACTCGGTATTTACATGATTCTCTATGGCGTGTTACTCCACAGTCGACAGACGCGGTCATGCGTACTCAGCCAAACAGTTGGACATCCTACCTCTTTGCGTCAGCCAAACAGCTTTAGACATCATACCTCTTTGCGTCAGCCAAACAGCTTAGACAGCATACCTCTTTGCGTCAGCCAAACAGCTTAGACATCATACCTCTTTGCGTCAGCCAAACAGCTTGGACATCCTACCTATTTGCGTCAGCCAAACAGCTTAGACATCATACCTATTTGCGTCAGCCAAACAGCTTAGACATCATACCTCTTTGCGTCAGCCAAACAGCTTAGACATCCTACCTCTTTACATCAGGCGAACAGCTTGGACACCCTACCTCTTTGCGTCAGCCAAACAGCTTAGACATCCTACCTCTTTGCGTCAGCCAAACAGCTTAGACATCCTACCTCTTTGCGTCAGCCAAACAGCTTGGACATCATACCTCTTTGCGTCAGCCAAACAGTTTAGACATCATACCTCTTTGCGTCAGCCAAACAACTTAGACATCCTACCTCTTTGCGTCAGCCAAACAGCTTAGACATCATACCTCTTTGCGTCAGCCAAACAGCTTAGACATCCTACCTATTTGCGTCAGCTAAACAGCTTAGACATCCTACCTCTTTGCGTCAGCCAAACAGCTTGGACATCATACCTCTTTGCGTCAGCTAAACAATTTAGACATCATATCTCTTTGCGTCAGCCAAACAGCTTAGACATCCTACCTCTTTGCGTCAGCCAAACAATGCCTCGTGTACAAAGTAGAAAAATCGTCAGCATAACACTGCATATATTACCTTCACTCGGAGTGACATCATTGTATGCAGGATAATCATTGAAAGCTGTCAAGATGTTTGCTTGGATAGTTTCTCTTTGCCAGTTGGCTGGGCAATCTCCACTGGTTTCATAGTCCGTCTGTCTGGTCCAGAACTTGGAATCCAACACTTCATTGAGCCCGATGAGATCTATGCTGATGGGTTCTAGGAGACATTTAGGAAGTTGGTGACGAAAAAGAGAAGAAAAAAAGAAGAAAAAAAGCATACATTATTTTACGAGCGCAAACGGGCAAGGTGACATGATTCATATTCATGTCTTTTTCAATTATTATGAATGGCATTCGATGGCTTAATTGCTCGCAACTTACAAAATATGCAAACAAATTATGATATATTATTCAATATAAGTGTGTTTAAAATTTTAGCATAATATATGGAAGTAATATTTGAAGCTCATCTGATTTCAATAAATATTCAATACACATTAGTAACATGAAATTCCTGCCTTACAAAACTTAAATTTTGGTAAAAAAATACAGGGTTACACAAAGTTATTCTTTCAAAAGAATAAGAACGCTGAAAGGGTTGATGGGCTCTGGGACGAGCTCTGGGTTGCCGAAGTTGCGATCAGTATACCCTCATCGCCTTTATGCCTAGGTCACATATGAACCGGGCCCCGTACGATTTTCCCTACCCGGCGGCTTGCCGTGGATTTAGAGACCGTACGGGAACCGTCCGATTTTCATTTCTACGGCATGTGTGGTCACAAATTCCTCGTCGCCCGGGAGGTGCCCGGAGAAAATTGGTCGAGTGAAATGCAAGGCGCCCGTAAGGCAGGGTGCAGGGTGCCGGGGTCCTCAAGGCGCCCGGCTGGGTGCCGTGCGGGGGAGCGTCTTATTTTTTCGCACCACGGCGAGGCCAAATTGAGCTCGCGAGGTAAACCTGCGCATGCGCACTCGGAAAGGAAACCAGCGCATGCGCACGTGGAATCCGATAGGGTGACTAATAGGGTGATAGTAATTATACAATTTAACCTGTCATCAACTCATCGTCAGCTCAATCGGTGAGGACAGCGTGTTACTAATAGAACTTTGGAATTTGGAATTTGGAATTGACGTGAGGGTTCAAATCTCAGTTTATTTAGTTGTTTTGCCTTTATAAAAAGTGAGGCAAAGCAATAAATAATCAACAAATAATAAGTCGAATTGTTTGTGACCTCTTTGCAAGCTCTCATGGCTTGTTATGTATGAAAATGAGCTCATACTGGAATCTGGCCTCGCCGTGGTACGAAAAAATAAGACGCGTGCGGTGCACTGAACTACAGAGTGAGTCAGAAAAAATGTCAAACTCTTTAAAATTTGTATTGTTTGAAGTATGAATATTTAATCATGGGTTTCATGATATATCTTGATAGAGTTATACTCCCAGTACATTTAGATACCATATTCATTTGAATCTCTGCATGCATCACTGAATGTCAGACAATCTTTACAAGACTGCCAGATCTCACTTTCTACGGCCTAACGGTCAGATAAAAACGCCGGGAGAATTGGGAGCAGCCAACTCAACACCACGACGCCCGTACGGCTTAACAAAATGTCCCGGCGCCCGTAAGAACTTTACGTCAACCGGCCGGACACCGGCCGAAAATTCCCAAAATGTCTGTTTTTACTCGCCTTACGGGCCCCGGAGTGTATATGTGAAAGCCCCATTATAGAAGATGACAGTAATATTGACGAGCCCGACACCAGAAGCTGTTGCAACTGCTGCTGCCGTTGTTGTTGTCGTTGTTGTTGTTGCTATTGTTGTCTGAAACCCTAAACCAAATTGCAAATACTTCCGAAAACTCAACTCAAGAGCAATTTCGATACGCCATCGTAATGCCCCATAGAAATCAGGTTCGAATACACCAGTTTACAGTTGTGTGCGCCATTTTAAACAAGGCCAATGACCTAGAGGTCATGTATTTATGCGTAAATTAAGATTGCGCCCATGCAAATTATGATGATATCACTGCCTACGCGCTGCGTTGTGCGCGCAAATCATAATTTGCATGGGCGCAATCTTAATTTACGCATAAATACCACTGGTCAAAGGTTATTGGCCCTGTTTCAAGGCCAATGACCCGAGGTCAACTGTCTGCGCATGCGCACTGATACAACTGTAAACTGGTGTATTAAGGAATATATCATTTTTTTATTCGCACATCTAGAAGAATGACGTACAAGGCCATTGGAATTGCCTTAGGTTGATTTGTCGAAAGTAGCTGCGATCATGTTCCTTTAAAGCAATACTGCTCTGATGATGTACCCTTCCTCCCTAGCGCTCTGTTTATTGCAGGAGCCATCGCATGTTCAACTTGCCAACAGTGCGTTACACAATCCTTAATTCCCACTTCGCAGACACAGGACTAGACGCAAGATCCAACATCGCAGCTAGGGAAGCAGCGAACTATAGTTGAGACATGAGATGGCCCTAGAGGGCATTTTGCGATAGTGCTTCTAGTACAGTATGGCTTTAAGCTTTATTCCCAATTTTCAAAAATGCACGTACGTACCATTATACTCCAGGCTGCCCACTGAGAACTCTTTGTAAACTTTGCCGAACTTTTCCTGCGATGCTGCAGTCTTGGTGAACCTGTCCATATTCACTGATAACGATGCAGAGACGATTTTGTAGCTACCTCCAACACTTGCGCTGTTAGACATCTGTTTGAAGAACAAGAGACCGAGATAAGGTGTGGCAGTTGTTCGTGCGAGAAAAAATAAATAGACATCATGGGTCAAACTACGTTCAATGGGGTTAAAATAGATACTATTCAGGTCACTCCAAAATTTGAAAAATATTATAAACGCGTATGCGCGTGCGCTTGTCACAACTATCTCTCTAAATAAGCTATGGTTCACGTTATCACTTACATCTCGCGTGGAATCTTTGATGAAAGATGACGTGTCCTCACGGTAGGTTGTGCCCGAACGAGACCCCATTAGAGCTTCCGTCACAACGTGCTAAATTCGTAAAACAAGAGAAAACGATACAAACGTCTTTAAAAAAAGGGAAGTTATCAAGGTGTCTGTATCACCTCCGTATTCCCTTCTTTTGGAAATAAAACAAATCATTTTAGAATCGACCGTTCTGGCATTTTGCTTTGCGTCATCAGAGGTCCTTTGAGCCGCCATCTGTTGTTGACGGTTACACGAAATTATCAATATACATATAAAAATAAGCGTATCTGGACACCTACCCCCTGGACATTCACTCCCGGTTAACCACCCCAAGTCAACTACCCCTAGGACAACTACCCCAGGCGCGGATCCACGAGCCCAATTCTTTCGGCCCGGCTATGGCAAGCCCTTTGTGTAAAAACTAGATAAACTCTGTTTTTCTCAGATAAACTCAGTTTATCAACAGATAAACAGAGTTTATCAGATAAACGGAGTTTATCAGATAAACGGAGTTTATCAGTTGATAAACTCAGTTTATCAGAAAAACTCAGTTTATCAGTTGGTAAACTCAGTTTATCATTGATAAACACAGTTTTTCTGATAAACTGAGTTTATCTAGTTTTTACACAATGGGCTTGCCATAGCCGGGCCGAAAGAATTGGGCTCGTGGATCCGCGCCTGAACTACCCCCTAGGGCAACCGCCCTCTAGGACGACTACCCCTAGGACAACTACCCCGGACAACTACCCCGGACAACCACCCCCTATGACAACTACCCCCACGGACAAATCCCCCCGGACAACTACCCCCTAGGGCAACCGCCCTTTAGGACGACTACCCCCAGGACAACTACCCCGGACAACCACCCCCTGTGGCGACTACCCCCTAGGACAACTAACCCCGGACAACTAACTAGCGCACAACTAACCCCAGGACAACTACCCCCGGGCAACTACCCCCGGACAACTATCCCCAGACAACTACCCCCTAGGATAGTTGTCCAGGGGTAGTTGTCCTAGAGGGTAGTTGTCCGGGAGTAGTTGTCCGGGGGTGGTTGTCTTGTGGGGTAGTCGTCCTAGAAGGTGGTTGCCCTAGGGGATAGTTGTCCTAGGGGGTAGATGACTGAGGGTGGTTATCCGGGGGTGGATGCCCAGGGGGTAGGTGTCCTGATACGGTTATTGACAGTTCAGTTACACGAACTGAAATCAAAATGATCAATATACACTGTTGGTCATAATGGTGGAATAATTATTTTTACCCCAATTTATTGAATGATTTTGACAATGATTTATTCCTAATAGATCTAGATAATAGTATAAATTCTCAGATTTTATTTGATGACAATTGGGGAGTGTTTGTTTTGCGTGACTGCTAAAGCATGAGTGTGCTACAATGCTAATCAACTAGGGAACCTACTTTCTTAAGTCTTAACTGATAGTAATGGGGATTAATACCTCATAAAAGGGCACTAATAAAGCACATCGACACGGTTTTGATCCTGGTATTAGTGCCCTTTTATGAGGCATTAATCCCCATTACTGTCAGTTATGACTTAATGATGTAGGTCCCCTAGTTGTTTAGCATAGTAGCACACACATGCTTTAGTAGTCTTGCAAAACGAACACTCCACAATTGTCATTCAATAAAATCTGAAAATGTATACTATTATCTAGATCTATTAGGAATAAATCATTGTCAAAATCATTCAATAAATTGGGGTAAAAATAATTATTCCACCATTATGACCAACAATGTATATAATTATATTAAGTATTGCTGTGAATCTTGGCTCGTTCATTTACTATCCATTTCCTACACCTGATGGAGAGAGACTAGTGTAATGTCTAGCCAAACATTCCAAAGGCAGGCGCGGTTCGGTTCTAGAATAATAATAATATTATTACTATCATTATAATTATTATTATGATGATGATTATTATTATGATTATCATAATTATTTCAATTATTGTTATTGTTATTATTATCTGTATAATCATTTTTTTATAATGCTGATGATGATGATTACTATTGTAATTATTACAATTATCATTATCATTATTAGTTTAATTATTATTATTATTCTTATTACGATTATTATTAATATTATTATTATTAACATTTTCATTATAACATTATTATTATTATCATTATTATTGTTGTTGATGTTGTTGTTGTTGTTTTGATCATTGTCGTCATCATCATCATCATCGTCATCACCGTCATCCTTATTAAAGGTGAGGAAATCCTTACCGTTCCCCAGTCGGAGAGGAATGTCATGTAGGCCTCTCTTTCATAGGTAGTGGGCAGACCGCAGGCGGCAACACGGAACTCTCGACTGGGCTCGAACCCGTCAGTGTTGGCCAGGGTCGTCAGGTAGCGAATACTGCCGTAGTTCTGGATCGTTTGCTCTGAGAAGTACACGTAACCCTTGGTACTTTCATCATTCTTGATGGACTGGTATTCTGCAAGCATAACAAATATGAAGTGTTAATTAAAGATACATTTTTGCACATTTGATTAATACTTAGCCCCTGTGGTTTCTTTTTAAGGACTACATTACTGTGTTTTGTTTCGAAAGTTTCATTATTTTATGTACAAGGCATTGTTTATTTATTCTTAAATGTAAAAGAAGTATGCATATTTCGAATACTGGTCATCTGCATAACCCTATTCTGAAGAAGGTTTTATAACAATCTCTAGAATTCACAAATATAAGCTGCTTTCCATTATGATCATGAGGTCTGCAAATTTCAAAAAGATGTCATAGCTAATTTGAAATTGGCCTACATTTACCAAGGCGCGGATCCAGGATTTCTTAGGGGGGGGGGAGGCCCAAATTTGAAATCAATTTGAAAATCGTGTCGGCCGATATTTCGCTCAGTGGGGGGGGGGGGGGGGGGGGGGGTAGTGAGCACTTGAGCAGTAATTTTCTTTTTCTTCTATCTTGACCCTGAAAATTTCAAATTCGTGCCGGCCGGTAGTGAGAGCTTTTAAAAAAAACTTAACACCCCCCCCCCCCTTGAGCAAAAAAGAAAAGGTAATTTTCTGATCACAATTTTTTTTTTTGGCCCGTCTTTCTCTTTTTTTTTGGTCAGGGGCCGAGGCCCGCTCGGCCACCCCCACTGGATCCGCGCTTGCATGTACCTCGTAAAGAGAACACAACAGAAACTCTCAAAGGAACATTTTATAAGATTAACAAAATTCTGAAGAATATGAAATTCACTGAGTAAAAACTGTTTCGAACACATGTATTATCGTAAATAGTTCTTGAATTTGTTCAATCATATGATCCTTGTAATATGTTTATCGTATCATGATTTAAAACAATAGATTCCTTGTAAGAGGATTTTTTAAAAAAAAACGTCCTTTTCTCCTCTTTTTTTTGCTTGTCAGAAATCCTTCGCCATTTTTACAAAATCGTGGAACCGTCCCAGGGCGCAATAAAAAATCGGATAGAAAGTTAAATCCCAAAATGATTGTCGATGGGCCCAACTGTAAACATTTCGTCCCCAAATAGCAAGACCGACAACCCCCCCCCCCCACCCCCACCCCCCCCCCCCATTAGAATTAACGAGTAAGGATATCCTTCTTACCGTGGCTGGCAGCAAACTGGAAGCTAGCGAAGACAGCTTGAACGTCAACTAAAGAGTGAAAAGGGAGAATGAAAGGGACAAAAAGAAAACAATTATTGATTGATGCTATATTCGTTGAGTCATGTAGATTGCCATATTAATGGAATATATAAAAGGTGAGAAGCTTTAAAGGTGAAATTCAAAGAAGATCACAAATATGTCAACTAATGTATCACTAGATGGCCATCGGACAAGTTTTAGGTCAACTACATATCGGGTGATTTATAAAAAATACAAATAGAACCACCTCCATAGCAGCTGGGATATACGATAGATTCGCCGGAAAAATAACGATGTTTTAATGACGTCACTATATGGAACAACACTGCCCAAGCAGACGACATCCCATAGAGAATGAATATAATTGCAAAGCTATTATTTCTCAAATTATAATGAGTTTAGTGTATATAAATGTAATGGCATGTCAAACCATTCAAAAAGGGATATGACCCGATTCTGATAACTAAAATCTTTTGCTTGTAAATACACAGGATAGGGGTTAATTAACAATCAACGAAACCAGACTTTCAAATTGAAAAACCCCCGGAATGATATTAAGGACAGCATTTGCTCCCTCTTGAAACGCCGAACATACCCCAGTGTGCAGCTGAATATACAATGGCGTCTTATTTTGTTTACAAGCGACAGATTCCTTTATTTTTGTATCGCTGCATCTGTCATCAAAATAAAACCATGCGCGTGGTTTAGAGTGAGGCAATAGATTATACATTTAGCCTGGCGATTTGATGAATTTCATCGCCTTTGTAACATGCCCACTAATCAAGCACGAAATGACATCTGCCTAACACAGGACAGCGTTGGCGACTATAAACGCAGCTTTGCCAACTTGATTGAAAGCTTGATTAACGCAGATAATAGCGCGATCAAAATGACGCAACATGTGAAACGGGTATTTGATTTGATTTGATTTGATTTGATTTCTGCATTTTTTCCATATAAAATAACAATAAGTATAACAAAGAACATATAAATGCAAGGTATAATACAACATAAACAAACAATAATTTCTTCATGTCAAAATGTTTTTTTTACATAATATATGTACATATAATAACAAAACTTAATATTTCCATAACATATAAATCATAAATTTAAAGTATTATCCGAACTTTTCAATTGGAAAAGTGCAGGAGACCGCAATCATAAGCAAAGCTTGACAAGGATGGCGGCCTAAAAAAAAAAAAAAAAAAAAAAATCTTAAGGTAAACCTTAAAAAGAAAAAGTGTTCAAACGATCTTTGTGTATGAGTGTGTGTGTGTTGTGCAAGTGTGTGTGTATATATATATATATATATATATATATATATATATATTATGGGTGCGTGTGTGTGTGTGTGCGTGCGTGCGTGTGTGTGTGTGTGTGTGTGTGCGTGTGCACGCGAGCGTGCTTGTTTGTATGTGTTTGTAACGAATAGTGGAAGTGCACGTAGCTCTGTGTGGTATAGTGGAGTGGAAACAAATATAGCCTTTACAATAAAGGAAACTAAGAATACGAAATAGAAAACAAAATTTGCAAAACTGAGTTTCAATGTGACCAAAATTTGACAATTGCCTACTGCATGTTGAAATCAGTTATGTAGATACTTCGATATAAGAGTTTTTTTGAGAGATGCTTTAAAAGAATAAACAAACATAGTAGTTTGAACAAAAACTTTAATGCTATATCCAATTTCATCTCTACTTTATGTATAGATTTCTCTGTTTATGGTTTCTCTGAAACTTGGATTAATGACAGTACGCCACTATTATTTAATGTGTCTGATTATTCTTTTATACATTCTGATCGCCAAGAAGGAAAGGGTGGAGGTGTTGGTCTGTTGGTCGCTGACAATTTTGAATATGTAATACGCAATGATATATTTTACCTCTCATGCGATTATGAATCACTGTTTATTGAAATCAATTTGCCGAGACATAAGAATATTATTGTAGGTGTTATATATAGGAAACCTCAATCAAATATCAATGATTTCATCCCTGTCTTTGAAAATTGTTTACAGAAAACTAATACTGAACATAAACAGGTTTATATAATGGGCGACTTTAACATTGATCTTATGAAATATACTGGCAATGCTGTATGTAATTTCTTGAGCGCAATACATTCAAATTTTTTTATTCCTTTAATTGATAAGCCTTCAAGAATGACTGACAGATCAATATCCCTTATTGATAACATATTTACAAATAACTTTGATCTAAATGTTTCTTCTGGTTTGTTTTATAATGATATATCTGATCATTTCCCAATATTTCAAATAACACAAAAACAGTTTCTTATCTATAACATTTCTGTATATAATACTCGTATTATCAATGATGTATCTCTTAATGTTTTCAAAGAGGATTTGTTACGTAATGACTGGAATATTTTTAATTATACCGATGTAGTCGTAGCTTTTGAAAAGTTTTCGACAACTTTATCATTACTTTATAACAGAGCATTTGTAAAGAAAACTTTTAAATCTGTTCGTAAAAAGATTAGAAAACCGTGGATTACATTTGACTTGTATAAAAAGATAAGGAATAAAAATAAAGTATATAGAAGGTATTGTCATTCACCTACAGAAAATAACAAGAGGAAATACGTTCAATTACGGAACTACACTAATAAGTTATTAAAACTTGCACGTAAAGACTACTACAAGATGAAATTTTATGCAATAAAGGGAAATATGAAAAAAACATGGCAATTAATCAATGGTATCCTGGGTAAATCTCACAATGCCTTACCTAATTTCATAAATGTAAATGGGAAACAAATATCTAATTCTAAAGATATTGCCAATCATTTTAACAATTTTTTTGTAAATATTGGTCCATCTTTGAAAAATTCCTTATCCTTAGGCAATACTGACAAATTTGCCAAATTTTTACCAAAGCAAAATTCCAATTCTGTATATTTTAAAGCTGTATCTGAAAATGAAATTATTGATGTAGTAAAGAAATTGAATTGTACAAATAGTTGTGGCATTGATGAATTCAATCCTGATGTCATAAAGAATGTAATACACTATATTGTTACACCATTGTGTTATATTTTCAATTTATCGATTTCTACTGGAGTTGTTCCCTCTAGATTGAAAATTGCAAAAGTTGTACCTGTTCATAAAAAAAGTGATATTCATAATGTTGATAATTATAGGCCTATATCTATACTTCCTTATTTTTCAAAAATCTTAGAAAGGCTCGTCTATAATCGTATATATAGCTATTTATGCACAAATTCTATTTTGAATGATAGTCAGTATGGTTTTTTAAAGCATGTGTCGACAGAAATGGCTGTTATTGATCTTCAAGATTATTTAATTAGTGTATTTAATAAAAAATTGCATGCTATTGGTGTTTTCTTAGATTTAAGCAAGGCATTTGATACAATTGATTTCTCTATATTATTATCCAAACTTGCCTGTTATGGGATAAGAGGTTTACCACTCCTCTGGTTCAAAAGTTATTTACATAATAGAACTCAATGTGTATCATTTAATGGTGTTTTATCTGATTATTCGGAAATCTCATGTGGTGTGCCCCAGGGGTCAATCCTGGGGCCCCTTCTGTTTTTACTTTATATTAATGACCTTCCATATTGTTCTGATAAATTGAAATTCATTCTTTTTGCTGATGACACCAATATCCTCTACACCTCAAATGACATTGGATCTTTATATAGCACGTTAAATATTGAATTGCGGAAAGTATCGAATTGGTTTAAATGCAATAAATTAATCTTGAATGCTGGAAAGTCAAATTTTATATATTTTCATTCCAAATATAAACCGGTTTCTACAGAGCTCCTCAATTCATATCAAATAAAAATGGATGATAATTTTCTTAATCGTGTTGCTAATACCAAGTTCTTGGGTATTTTTATTGACGAAAGCTTATCCTGGAAAACACATATATCCCATATTAATAAGATAATGTCCAGGAATACTGGTGTCATCAGCAAACTCCGCCATACTTTGCCTCAATCTGTTCTTCTTATGTTATACAATACACTTATATTACCGTTTCTTAGTTATTGCAACATTGTTTGGGCAAACACATACCCAACCAAACTGCATCGTTTATATATTCTACAAAAGAGGGTTGTAAGAAATATAACGCTATCTCATTATCAATCTCATTCAAGACCACTTTTTAAACAACTTAATATATTGAATGTATACCAGTTAAATGAATATTTGTGTGCTATACTTATATTTAAGAAGGAAAAAAGTCTGCTTCCTGAAAAGTTATCCGATATGTTTATAACAAACAGTACAATACATAACCATAATACTAGAAATAAGAAGAAATATCACCGATGGTGTGTTAATACAAATTTTGCATCATATTCTTGCAGACATCATGCACCTGAAATTTGGAACTTGCTTCCAACTAATATAACTTCAATCTCATTTTACAACAGTTTTAAACGTAATCTCAAAAGTTTCTTGATTGCGCATGACTCTCATTGAATGTATTTATCTAGCTTGTTACCCCTCTCTCTTTCACTCTCTCTCTCTTTCTTTCTTCTCCTTTGCTATCTTCTCACTTTTTCATCCTACCATGTTGTATATCATGTACTGGGTTTGTGCCGGTTGTTATGCAATTTCTGAATGATATTATCCGAAACTTTACTTGCTACTTGTTTTCTTACTATGTTTATTATATCTAATTTGATAGGAAGCTGTCCAGACAAAACCTTTTCTTGGTTTTTTTTACAGCTGTGCCTTATTCTGTTTTGTATTAATTCATTTCACATGTATATACTATCCCAATTTATGTATTATATTGTACATGAAATTGTATGTTTTTACTTTGTAAAAATGTTTTTAAAGATGGAATTCAATAAACTGAACTGAACTGAGATGAACAATGCCTTATTGAATTTGGTAAGGAGTTCCAAACATCTGGTCCATGATGTCTTACTGATTTTTGTGCTAAAAGTATTTTAGGATTTTCTAAGTGATAATTTGTTGAACAACGGGTGGGGTATGTGTGAATGTTTGAGTTAAAACTGTAAATATTGTGAAATAGGGATGGTAGTTGATTATGAGAATATTTATACATAAAAATGCATGTCTGAAAATGTGAATATCTTGTATTTTTAATGTTTTTAAACGCTGAAATAAAGGTTCCGTATGTGATATATAATGTGAGTTAGTGATCATACGAATCGCTATCTTTTGAAGCAAAAATAAGGAATTAATTCTTGTTAAACTACAATTACCCCATACAATATTACAATATATCACATGTGATAAAATTAGAGAATTGTATAATATAATCATAGATCTTTCAGAAAGAATATTTTTTAACTTATACAGTATTCCAATATTCCTTGATATTGATGTATGGATATTACGTATATGCTCATTAAAATTTAGATGAGAGTCAATAGTGACTCCTAAAAATTTAACAGATTGTTTTTTAATGAAAGGCAAGCCATTAATCTCAATATTACAATTTCTTATATCATGTATGTTGGTCTGTTTAAAATGAATGAAATTTGTTTTACTAAGATTTAATGACAATTTATTAGATTTAAACCACCTAGAAATTTTCATTAATTCACAGTTTAACCGCGTTATGAGCGTATCAAAGTTTTTTATGGGAATAAGAAATACTCGTATCATCAGCAAAGATGATAACATTTAAAAGTAAAGAGGTTTCAATAATATCATTTATATAAATAATAAAAAGCAATGGACCCAATATAGATCCTTGCGGTACTCCACATTTAATTGTTAATTTTGTTGATTCATGATTTTGGAAAGATACATATTGTTGTCTGTCTTATAAATAATTAGTAAACCATGAAAGAGCATGACCTCTTACGCCATAGTATTGTAATTTATGAATTAATATTTTATGATCAATCGTATCAAAAGCTTTTGACAAGTCCATAAATACTCCAACAATATGTTCACTGTTTGCAAAAGCCTCAATTATTTTATCATACATATGCAAAATTGCGTAATCGGTAGAATGACCAATTCTAAATCCGAACTGGTTAGGAATCAATGAATTATTTTTTTGTAAAAAAGTGTTAAGTCTTTTATATATTATTTTTTCGAGAATTTTAGAGATACTTGGTAATAATGAAATTGGCCTATAATTACTTATTTCTGAGGAATCGTCCTTTTTATAAATAGGAATCACTTTAGCGATTTTAAGCAAATGTGGGCATACACCCGTTGAAATTGATAAATTAAATATATATGTCAGGGGGGTTACGATATTAAAGATTATTTGTTTAAATAAGTGAACACTTATACTATCATGGCCACTAGATTTTGTAGAATTAAGGTGTTGAACTACATTAATAATTTCATAATCATTGGTTGGAGTAAGAAATAATGAATTTTCACGTGGGAAATTCAAGGACTTATTGTAGTCCATGTCACCTGAATCAATATTAGCTGCTAAATTAGGGCCTACATCTATATAATACTCATTAAAAGCTTTTGAAGTTTTAATTGGATCTGTTAGTTGTTGTTCATTAATTAAGAAACATTTATTACTTTCTGTATTTTTCTTGCCTAAGAGTTCCTGTACAGTTTTCCATAATAAATTATTGTTACTTTTATTACTTTCTATGTTGTTAGAATAATATAACTTCTTGGACAATCGTATAAGAGATGTAAAATGATTCTATACGTTTTATACTTCTTAAGCTTGTCGTTACATTGACTTGTAAGGGCTTCCTTGTACAACTTAATACGGGCGACTATGGAACGCAAAATACCCTTAGTAATCCCTGGTTGTTTGGCCTTTTTACCTTTTTTTTAATTTTGACAAGGGGTATATTCTTATGATAATAATGTAATACAGTTTCTAGAAATTTTTCATATGCTACATTTACGTCAGATGCACTTAATACCTCGACCCATTCTTCTTTGGTTAAATCAAAGTTGAATGATTCAATATTATGTTTTGTCTGTTTTCTATGCATTGCACAATTATTTTTAGTCATTTTTTTAACAAGGTGAACTTTAGAAATAATAAATATCGGTAAATGGTCAGAGATATCGTAATATAACAGACCATTTGTAAAATTGTTATGAGCTACATTCGAAAAAAATATTGTCAATGAGAGTTTGAGAAATACATGAAATTCTTGTTGGTTTATCAATATGTGAGTTAAATGCGTAAGATTGCAGTGTACTAATACATTTCACAATGTGGTTATCATCAGAATTTAAAAGATTAACGTTAAAATCGCCCATTATATAAACTTCTTTATTTTCTTGGGAAACAGTATCAAGACATCTATCAAAATTGTTCAAGAAAATTTCTACATTATGATTAGGGGGTCTATACATTATGCCAACTATTATGTTTTTGGCTTTATCATTTAATATTTCAATATATAAATCTTCAGCACCTTCAGTGTGTAAGTCAGACCTAACTTTAATTTTAAAATTATTATGTATGTATAGCGCTACTCCGCCCCCTCTACCATGGTCACGATCAGAACGAAACATGTGATAGTTTGGTATATTAAATAGAGGTGGGGAATTTTTATGGAGCCAAGTTTCAGATAAGCCTATTCTGGAAAACTGGAAGTTATTTAATTGTAAAAAGTTCTTGTACGGACTCAAAATTCTTATTCATACTTCTACTATTAACGTGAAATAGGCTGAAGTCAGGATTGGCTTGAAGATTCATGGAGTTTGAGTCACCGTACATTTGATCGTTATTATTGGATGAATTAAAACTAGAATTAAGTTCTTCTGCTGTATAATACTTACTTTCAACATTTCTCAAACCTTGGTCAAAATTTGCGTTAGGAAAAATCATTCAGAATTCTGGAATATCTCAAATATACAAGAAAAGCCACAGAGAGCACGCTGTGTGAGTTTGTGTCTATGTGTGAAAGTGTGAGTCTGTGCATGTAATTTTGTGAACATGTGTACGTTCCTGTGTACATGGTTGTGCTAGTGCTGAAAAAAAAATGTAGTAAGAAAACATAAGTAAAGGTAAAAATGGCAACATAGTCATAATCACTTGCAGGTCTCAAAAGCAAAGTGTTTGTAGCCCATGGAACATTAATACAGCTATTCAAATAGAGAATCTAATTTAAAAGAAAAAAGGTATAGAGATTAAACTCAATCTAATGCGCACTTTAAACATGCAATATCATTTATGTTTTTAAATAACCTCATGTAACGTAATATGTAAAACTTTCTTTAAAAAAAAAAATAAAAAAAATATCCTAAACTTAACCAACGGAAAGGTCCAATTTGCACTCGTGATTAGACTAAACAAATTATGAGAGATATTGACATCAGTCAGAGTACGAGCAGCTGTATGTACGAGCCAGAACCTTGTTGGCATATAATTAAAGAACACACGAAACCGAATCCAATGCACGAAGCCCAGACGAGCGCCCCGCCACAAAACCATCCAACCCACCCGCCACGAATAACTGCATCCCGACAGCCAGAAAGCAAACCGCACACACTTCGTGCCGCCAGGCAGGAAAGGCATTAATGCTTGTCTCACCTAGCAACAAAGAACGTACGCCATTCACCCAACCACCGAAACACAATCACCCATAGCAGGCGAAAGAATAAACCCGTAACGAGGCAGCCAACAAAGATCCGCGTACCAAACCCGACTAAATCACGAAAAAGGACCATTCAATCAACGACACAAGTCATGTTAAATAGTCCGCACCGTCCAAGAAAATTGTGTACGTTATATTTATGCAGGACCCCCATGAATACCTTAAATTTAGTTATAAATGTATTTATACAAATAAAGGCGCATGCGTAAAAACTTGTTTGTAAGTACTAATAATTACAAAAAATGTATCCTTGAAACGCAGGCCTAACACATTGGGCAGGTTTTATTTGCCTTTATAAATTATCATTGATGTGATTGAAAATATAAAAAATATCACAACACGATATAGCATGGGGTCACAAAACGAGCATCTTACCATCGACATTTACTTGATGGGAAAGCTTCTTGGCGTAGCTTTTCGTTCCGTAAAACGTATCCTTCTCTTGCGACGTGTAAGAGCTACTACGTCGCACGAATTCCACTTCGTCGGGCACTCGGTACTCGTTGTCGGCCGTCACTTTCCCGTTGTCGTAAGTGAGTTTCAAAACACGCCGAGTCGTCATGAGTCCGGGGTCGACCCCTCCATTGTTTTGGTTACCCTCGGGGTTTCCCTTGATGATATCGTAGGAGATGCCGACGTATTTCACCTGCTCGGGAACGGGCTTGGTAGAAGCGCCCAGTGATAGCGCGGGCAATAGGAAGAGGAGGGTGAACACACAACTGCATACACTACGTGGTGTCTCCATGGTGAAAACAGATCTAGACTAAGAGGCCGAAAGAAAGAGGGAATGAAAGAAGGAAGTAGAAGAAAACAAATGTTTAAAGCCTTACAATACGTCGATTACACAACGTTTGTATCATGTGAATGTATAACGAAGAAAACAACCAAGCAAACAGAAGAAACACAGCAACAAAACGCATGGACCTATTAATTTTCATGCTTCAATAAATTCAATTTTTACAAAGAAGATTCGGGTGAATAGCAGTGCTTATTCAAACAAATATTCGCATCAATTTGAATCACAATCTTTATTTGTCGCTTAATCCCTTTTAATGACCTTGTTTTCTTTATCGTTTGCAAGGGGAGAAGAAGATATGTCACGTTAAAGACATCATAAAGATCAGTGTTGTATGCGTATAATTATATACACAGGCCCCGCAGAACGTTTATCAAAGTGGGGGGGGCTAAAGTATTTACGATCAGGTAGAGGGTAGCGAGCGTAAATTGGTGTGGGGGGGGGGATTCAGGGGTTTTAGGCATTTAATTACGGTCAGAGAAGCACAAATATTTTGATGCCGCATTTGTGTCACTGGCAGGTCAGGGGGGGGGGGGGCGTTTTTTATTTCATTTCTTAAGGTAAAATTTACGTTACTATCCTATTTTTCTTACCGGTTTGGGAGGCTAGGGGGGGGGGGGGGGCGGGCCGGTAGAATTGGCCCGCGGATCCGCGCCTGTCCAAAATAGCACACACACAAAATCGCCTCGCCGCTACGCGGCTCAGTTAAGAAAGAAAGTAAAGGTTGCTCCGAATACTGAGGAGGAAATAATGTGCAGAACGGGAAAAAATCGAGAGAATGTCATCAGGGGATGAAAGTCAGTAACAGCTATATAGCTTGTAAATTTGTAAGAGGGAAAATGCTGATTAAAATGATAATGATGAAATAGCAAAAAATTGAGGAGTATCATAGGTACCAATTCAATGGATATTTGTATAAAAAAGAGCCCCCGTCAGTACTAAAAGAGCCCCCGTGAGAAGGCTCACGGGGGCTTTTTTGGGGGGGGGGGGGGGTGGGGAAGAGCCGCCGCGGACAAAAAATTAATTTGAGCCCTGCTCATTTTATGTATGTTATAACCAAAGAAGAAAAAAGCAAATCCGTCACTCAATAGTGTCTGACAGCGAAGTCTAGCAAGTAAACGGGTTTCCTTGCATAATTTGAATATTAGGACAATGCTAACGTTTAAATTTCACAGATAGAACATACATGATATATTCATAGTTCCTGCAAAGTTCTACAGAATTTGAGGTTGGCTGCAAAAGGGACATAGTATCTTTAAGGTACCTTTGGAACAGTCTAACACGCCCGAGGCGATATCCGAGGGTGTTTGGACTGTTTCGAAGGTACATGGGTAATTTTACTAATACCCGAACAAAATGATGTGTTTTATTAGTTTTATAAGATAATATTTTATTTGTTTCATAAAATGATGTTTAATAACATGATTTTACTAATGACGGGTCATTAGTAAAATTATGTGTTTAGACAAAGAAAATGCCTGGTCAGGTGTGCGCTCTCAACCAATCATTTGATTAGGATCCGCTTCATTATCTTATAACGCGAAATAATCAAATCAAGCTCATTTATTTTTATTCTTGTAAGAATTTCGGGAAATCCAAAGACATATTATTCTACAGAGGACAATACAACGAATAAGAAATGTCAGAAGGTACTTTTCACCCTAGTCAGAACTCAACCCACTCCTTAAACCAATGCCTGAACACCCGTAGCCAAGTCTTCTGTTAGTACCGTTTTAAAAGAAGATTTCAACTCATGAGGATGATAATGATTGTAAGAAGAAGAAGAAGAAGAAGAAGGAGATGTCTCGTCGGTGTAATGAGGGTATTAATGGCCATAGTATTATATCTAGATCATGAATTCGATGGAAAAGGCAGGCAATATCCCTTAGTTTACATCACCCCAAACCCCCAATAATCAACATTTTATATTTTCTTTTTCGTCTGTCTGGTTTTGGTCTCGCTATATATTTAAGACGAATAAGAGCAACTATTTCTTAAATTTCTCTCAAGGCTGGCTCATTACGGCCGCTCCCATTTAATTTTAATAACCCTTTTTATGGAACTTTATTTCACATATCTACAACTTTCACAATAACATATATACTTATAAAATAAAAAACATTATCTTAGCATATCAGTCAAAGCTTTTACCGGTTATTCATCAGCCTTTGCTTTTGTCTTAGAATTTAAATGTGACATCAATTGATACTTCAAACCAGTTAAAGGAGTTTTATCGTTCATTTTCCTTCTTTTTCTTCAAAATGTTTAACGTAGTTCTTAATAAATAACATATTCAGCCAATTTAATCAGAATGTTTATCTGATTGCCTATATCATATCCAATTACTAAAGTCTTCCCATTTATGTATCATCTAATAGATAAAAGATATATCAAACATTTTACGATTTTTCAAAACACAATTATCTTTTTACATTCTAGCATCATATGCCGTGATGTTTTGATGGTATTACAATCTCCCCATACATATATTTGTCCCCATTCATATAGGTTATATTTTGACAGTAAAAAACTTATACAAAAGTTAAAATCAAATTGTTTGATTCTGTTATCTCGTTTGCTGCCAAACGTTGTATTCAAAGGCCTCGTCTTGTTTTCTCTGCACAAATAATTAGTAGAACTGTTTAGCCTTCATATTTAAAACAATGATATCATCACCAGTTAATGTTTGTATACAACTAGAGTATCGTGCTTTCTTTGGTCTCCCGCAAACAAATATTCGGACCATAAAGCCTAACTGCAAAAAATGATGTTTAAGCAGTATCTCCGACCATGTACAGAGAGAAACAAATATTGAAATTATTCCTGAAAATTTAGTCACAATGTAGGTGTATAAACATGTACCAATTTAATAAAAATTGTATATTTTCGCTTTGAGATTTCTCTCTGTAGGTGCACCTTTCTTTTCCAGGAAGTTCCCTGGTTTGTTTGCCCCCACTAGGCAGACGCTTCGCCGCCCCTCTACCTCAACAACAACAATATTGGTGAAAAATAGTAAAATCAACATCAACACCACCAACATCAACAAATCAACAATAACAACATTAATGATACGAATAATAAGAAAAAGAAGAAGAAGAAGAAGAAGAGGAAGAAGAAGAAGAATGAGTAGGAAAAGAAGGAGAAGAAGCAGAAGGAGGAAAAAGAAGTAGTAGAAGAAGAGGCAGCAGCGAAAACAGCAAAAAGGGAAAGGAAACTATTTGAATGTGGGCTGCAGCACTTGGTTTGGGGTCAATGTTTGTGCAACACAAATATAGTGACCGAACCTATAAAAACTATTAACAACGCATAAAAAGTGGGTAAAGGTTCTTTAATTTGACAAACCTGACATCAACAGTTACAAAGCATTTCTAAGAACAATACGAAGTTGCTTGTTAGTTTGAATATGATAAACACCATTAACTTTGTATCTAATATTTTGTAAATATACATATTCTTTTTAAATATCTAAAAGAAAACAGACTCTAAATTATTATTGATGATTAAATCAAATTAGAAGTCTTACCTCCTTTGCTCACAGGAACACAGTTGGTCTGATCAGTGATGAAAGAAATTTGATCCAGGTTATATATTTTGATGTGCTCTTTCAACCGTGACGTGACGAGGGCTGGCGCGTTACCCTAGTTTTCACCGCCAAACTATTAAACTGACCGATCTACTTTCTTTTTCTTTCTTCTTCCCCTTTTGTCTGGTGTCAGTCTAGACTAGTTGGTTTAACCGGGGTATGAAAAGGTGGTATTTCTACACCGTGATCAAAGGCTGGCCATATACCCTAGCTTACACTGTCAAACTAAAGCGACCGACAATTAACTTGTTCTTTGGTCCCACGGAAGCTCAGGTGTTTAATGTATTTAATTACGGTTAGATAAGCATCCAGGGCCCTCTTTAAGGCCATCGATGTGGTCCAGGGGGCAGAGCCTCCTCAAGCTCAGAGGTTTTTAGATATTTAATTACGGTTAGATGAGCTTTCAGGGGCCCTCTTTAAGGCAATTGATGTGGTCCAGGCGGCAGAGCCCCTTGAAGCTCAGAGGTTTTAGATATTTAACAACGGTCAGACGAGCATCCAGGGGCCCGCCTTAGGGTCCTTGGTGGGGTCCAGGGGGCCGAGCCCCCTGAAGCTCAGGTGTTTTAGGTATTTAATTACGGTCAGATGAGCATCCAGGGGACCGCCATAGGGTTCTTGGTGGGGTCCGGAGGCATAGCCCCCGTAAGCTCTGGTGTTTTAGGCATTTATTTACGGTCAGATGACCATATTTTGACACCTCGTTTGTAACATAAGCAGGTCACTTTTTTTGTTCTCTCTCTCTCTTTTTTCTTTTTCTCTGTGACATACTTTTTCAAAACCTAAATTGATAAATATAGGTGGCATGCGGAATGTTCAGGAAATTTAAATCCTGTTAACTTTCCTTTTCTTTAAATGGAATTTTATATGTGATTAAATTCATGTTTTTATTAGTGTAATGTTCTTTTGGGTTAAAAATACAAACCATCTTTAATCATTTTCTTCTTGTTTTTGGAGGGGGGGGGGGGCGTTTTTTGTTTTGTTTTGTTTTGTTTTGTTTTTTGTTTTTTTGGGGGGGAGGGCAAAAATGCGTTTTGCCCCCCCCCCTCCCCTAGTGCTCCCCCTGCCCCCCCCCCCCCCACAACCGGCGCCTATGCAAAAAACAGACTGTGCCTTGAAGAATCTACAAAATGCCTACGCAAAGTAGTCGCTCAAAATCACGGAAATACATTTACAGTTATGGCGTACATTATTATGAATATTGACGTTTATGAAGTTTCCAATAGGAAATGAGAAGTAGTTTATAAGAAAAACCTTTAAATTTGGCTGTAACACAATGATTTTGCAACTCCATTTTAAAACTTATCCTATCCATTTCCAAGGAATAGAAGGTAATAGGACAATAAAGAATTTTATTTTTAAAGTTTGGCAAGTCCACTTCTGTAATAATTTTTGGGTTCGCTGCTCCTCTAACTGGGCTTAAATCACGATACTTTTCTTGAAACTACACTCTGGGCCCTGGCCCAGCGAAACGAATCTGAAGAAATATAAAAGGCTCTCTTGTCTGTGATGTTTGGAAAAAGTTTGCCAAGTCCAGCGAAAAGAATCCGAAGAAATGTAAAAGGCTCTCTAGTCTGTGATGTTTGGACAAAATTTGGCAAGTCCAGCGAAAAGAATCTGAAGAAATGTAAAAGGCTTTCTTGTCTGTGATGATGCGTGATTACATAATCAACATTGTGGCGTCAAATGAATGTTGGTCATGATGTGATCAAAGAAAGAATCTCATTATTAAGTTTATAAATTTTCAAATCCAGAAATCCTGGATCCGCGCCTGATCCGTAGTAGGGTCCATGGATAGTTAATGTTTGATAACCTAGTATTGAGTAAAGCAAAATAATAGGGGGCGCTGTGGTGTATCTGTGAACTCTTTCCACTCTACGTGGTTAAACCCGAGAGCATTTAAAGGTTAGACTGGCAAAGGAAAAGCGCCTGTATGATAATAGTTTATATATTAATAGGGTTTTGGGGGTCAGAGGATCTGATTATGATGTTCTTTCATCGATCTGAGGTCTCCTTGGGGCTGCAATACTGGTCATATTGGTCAAATCCAAAATGGCCGCCATCTGATAGTTACAGGTCGAGTGTAGTTACGAACGGAAACGGGCTAGTATGATAAAAGTTTATATATTTATGGGGTTTTCGTGGTCAGAGAAACTGATCATGATGTTCTTTCATCGATTTGAGGTCTATTTGGGGCTGTCATGCTGGTCATATTGGTCAAATCTAAAATGGCTGCCACCTTTGAGTAAAAGGTCAAGCGTAGTTCCAAAAGGAAAAAGACCAGTATGATAAAAGTTGATAAATTCATGGGGTTTCCGGGATCGGATAATCTGATTATGATGTTCTTTTATCAATTTTACGTGTCCATCCTGTGCTAAGGCTACAATGAAGGCCATTTCCTGGTTAAAGACGATGAGGGAAGATGCGCCAAATTCACACTTGAGTGGGTATAAATCTTGGCCTGCGCCCATTTGTTTCATCAATATGCAAACTTTCCTCAGTCTGTGAAATGCATAATAAATTCGTTTTCGAGGGTTGGCAAGGAAAATGGATAAACAGTAGAAACAGACCATGGATAAAGAAATAAACAGCTTGGTTGATTTGTTTTGAAGCATTATCTTTAAAAACCCGGACAGCTTAAACGGTATTATCCCTTAAAAATAACGTCTACACTGTAAAAAAAGAATTTGTTCATTGGTAATTTTACGTATTTTTTCCATGTAGAATTTACTTGAAAACATTAGTTTTGCCACTTACGCACTAAATTTAAGTCTTGCTAACTCAAACTTTCAATTTAGTAGAACATACGTGGAATATTTAAGTAAAATCAAATACATAAGAACTTTAAGTAATTTCAGCTTGTATTAATTTAGTAATTTTAACTCAAAATCAGAAATTATACGTATTACTCAAACAATTTATGTTGATTATTCTTATCTTTTTAAAGTAAGGACCGATGCAGTGCGTAATAGAAATATTTACATAATTTATGAATATTCATTAAGACCAAATTAAACTCTTTTTTAAATAAAACAAATTTTTGTGGTTGAATGAAAATTTAAGGACTTTAAAACATTTACTAATTCATTTAACATGGCTAAGCAAAGACAAGACAATTTTTAATTGTTACCCAGTTCAAAACAAATCAAAACTTGATATTTCAGGAAATTGTCAACCAATTTTCCTTTTAAGATGCTACGATCAAGTATATATATAAAATTTGGAGCCTTTCAATATGTGTCGAATTGAAGCGTATGTAATAATTTGTGATGGTGGTGGATATATATATATATATACGGTTAAATCTTAAATAGAAGTAGTGTTAGTGATTAGTGGTTAATCTTAAATAGAAGTAGTGAATGATTAGTGGATGTTACTTGTTAGATTAGATGGGTACCAAATCGTGCAATATGTAATCCTATCATAGCTTTTTTTTAATTATCTAAAATGATTACAATACTTAATTTATTTACGTTAATGTAACTCGATTTAACTGAGTAAAAATTTATTCAGCAAAATAAGTAAATTCTACTTAAGATGCCGTAGGTAATATTTACTAAATAAAAATAAGGCAATTCTTTTCCTAGATTTTATTGAGTTATTTCGACTATTATTTTTTTACAGTGTATAATCACTCTGAGATGGAAGATAATACCAATACGAAATGCATTAAGCAACGTCTAGACATAAAGGTCGAATCTCAACTTTATTTTTCATCAATATGCAAACTTTCTTTGACCCCGAAAACCCCCATAAACTTTTATCATACTAGCCCATTTCATAATTTCTATAATCATTCTGAGATGGAATAAAATACCAATACGAATTGCATTATGCAACGTCTATACATAAAGGTCGAATCCAAACTATTAAACCGACCGATTATCTACTTTCTTTTTCTTTCTTCTTCCCCTTTTGTCGGGTGTCAGTCTAGACTAGTTGGTTTAACCGGGGTATGAAAAGGTGGTATTTCTACACCGTGATCAAAGGCTGGCCATATACCCTAGCTTACACTGTCAAACTAAAGCGACCGACAATTAACTTGTTCATATCAAGGGACGGGTTAGAGTTTGCTACCAAACATTGAAATGAAAGGGCTGTTGACCTTTCACTTCATTTAAGAAATAACCTCTCTGTATATCTTAGAGACACTTTCTCTTGAGAGTCAAATAAACTCGAGAGCATCCTGGGGCTCCGCCCCGGAACCCCCGGCAGGGGCTCTGCCAGGCCCCTAAAGCTGTGCCATATTGAACGGATATATTGGAAAGGAAAATAAGCCCAATAAATTATTCGTATATATATGTATACATACGTATATATATAGTTCTCCTATGCAAACTTTCCTCTGTGAAATGCATGATAAATTCGGAATAAGGAAATAAACAGCTTGTTCGATTTGTTTTCAAGCATTATCTTCAAAAACCTGGGCAGCTTAAACTGTATTATCCTTAAAACCAATATAATAATAATAATAATAATAATAATGGTGTCTTCTTATATAGCACACATGTGACGCTCCTGGCGTTGCCCCGATTATTACCCTGGCTTTAGCAAGGCAGCCACTGCGGCGCTCTAGCATTTCAAGGAATTAATTAATATCTCTTACATTGTTATGTAACTAGTCAAGTTTGGCCCCATTTAAGTTTACTACACTGTCGCTCATAAAGGTGGAATATTTTAGTTTTACCCCAATTTATGGAATTATTTTAAAAATAATTTAAAAATAATAGATCTAGATAAAAGTATAGATTCTCAGATTTTATTGAATAATAATTTTCCAATGTGTGTTTTGCGGGACTGCTAAAGCATGTGTTTGCTACTATGCTTATTAACTAGGGGACCTACGCCCTCAAGTGATAAATGACAGTAATGAGGATTAATGCCCCACAAAAGGGCACCAATATAGCACATCGACATGGTTTTGATCCTGGGGCCTCACAGTTACGAGGCCATTGCTCTGTCACTGAACCATGACTGTACGCAGCGGGAGCTAGGGTAGGGGGCAGTTTCCATAAATAAAATAAAAACAGAAAATGCAATACATTTTCAATAGTTTATTGCATTTTACCCCGGTCCCCAACATAAACAAATCC